ATGTATCAATGGGACTCTAATGAAGAAAAAGCATCCCTCTGTCTGGGTTTTCTTACCCCATTGTGGTGCCCATGTTCTCTGTTTCAACATAGTGTGACTGTAAGAACTTCTAGGCAGAGTTAGCTGAATGATTTAAAACCAGCTTCCTGCATTTCTCGCATTCAGCAGCTTGTAAGCTATTTTCACTTCATATATGAAGCTGCATTTGCTACCATCTCGTATTTTGTCATGTTTTTGGTTTTGGATTTGGTTGACTAATATTTGTTAGATGCTTTTGCATCTACGCTCAGAAGTGAGTTGGCCTAAAATTTTTCTTCTTCATGGCTTGTCTGGTTTTGCTATCAAAATTATACTGGCCTTCTAGAATATGCTTGGAGCGTTCCCTCTTTTTCTTGACAGTGCTTGGTTGATATTGAAACAGTCTGCTCATTGAGAATTTTGAGAACTTGCCTGTAAGGTTACCTTGGGTTGGTAAGTTCTCAGGAAGGTTTTTAACAACAGTTTGCGTGTATTTGCCACTTCTTGGTTTCTTCAGGTTTTCTAGTTCATTTTGAACCAGTTTATAGGTTCCATTTTCTTGCCTGTGTCTATTTGTGTCCATTTCCAGGTAATAGTTGCCAGGTTCTCTCCAGACGCAGTGGCTCACGCCTGTAATCCCAGCACTTTGGCAGGCAGAGGTGAGAGGATTGCCTGAGTTCATGGGTTCGAGACCAGTCTGGGCAACTTGGTGAGACCTCATCTCTACAATAAATCAAAAAATTAGCCGGACATGGTGGCACATGCCTGCAGTTCCAGTTATTTGGAAGGCTAAGGCAGAAGGATCGCCTGAACCCATCAAGTCAGGGTTGCGATAGCCATGAGCATGCCACTGCCCTCCAGCCTAGGCAACAGAGTGAGACTCCAACTCAAAAAAAAAAAAAAAAACAGTGACCAGGTTCTCACACAGGGTTGCTAAGCCTCTTTCTCCCCACTGGGTCTGTGGTAGGGTCCTTCAGATCACTTACAGTGTGGGATTATTTGCAGCTTTCTCCTCCTGCTCCAGTTGTCCCGGAGGCTTCATAAATTCCCTCTGGTTCATGGGCTTCTGCCTTTGTCTGGATCTTTTTACTTCTACCTTCTTTTGATTTGTTCCACTGAACTTCTCTCCCTCCCTTTCTTCCTCCCGTTTTGTGTGTGTGTGTATGTGTGTGTGTCTCCAGTCTTCTAGAGATTCCTTAATTGCTTCTAAATCACTCAGAGGTAAAGAAATTAAGAACACTCAGAACTGAAATAATTAAAATACTATCTACCAAAACCTGTGGGATGCAGCTACTGTAGCACTTACAAGGGTAATTTATAGCTTTAGATATTTTGTTAGTAAGAAAGAAAGGCTGAAAATACTGACTGTGTGATCAACTTAACAAGTTTGTTCTTTGTGCGCCAAGGTCTTACTCTGTCACCTGTAATCCAGGTTTCCTCCACTAGGTGAGTGTTCTTGAAACCCATAGCATCAGTGGACCAGGTAGTGTTGTTAGGAGAGGCTGTATGGCGCTTCAGTGAATTTTTCTTAGATTCTTTGAACACGCTTGCCCATTTCCTGATGGGTGGTTTACAAGCTCACCTGCCCACACTGTGCTCAGTGTTGAGCAGTTTTTGGCCAAAAATGGCATGACCCCCATGCTCCACCCTCCCTATTCACATGATCTCACCCCACGCAACTTTTGTTTCCTGGGATGAAAATGTCCTCAAAGGGAAACATTTTGCTGATGTGGAAGAGGTGAAACAAAGACCGGCAGAAGCACTAAAAGGCATCCAAATGGATGAGTTCAGAAACAGTTTTGAGCAGTAGGAAAAGTGTGTGCCGCTGCTGCCACCCCCGCCCCACCATCCTCTTTTTAAGAGACAGTTTCTCTTGCTGTGTTGCCAGGCTGACCCCGAACTTCTGGGTTCACGCCATCCTCCAGCTCCAGTCTTCTGAGTAGCTGGAACTACAGGTACAGCTCCCATGCCTGGTTTGTTTCTTACATAGTATGCAGCTGTTTTGTAAGGGCAGGGTCCTTAGAGCACCTGTCGGCCATAGTGCCAGATGTTATAATCTTTTGTGTCCTTCTTGTGGCAATCTGTTATGTTCTCCTTGTTTTGTTTTTCTTCCGCAGTACTTATCAGTATGTGATGTACTGTGTGCTTGTCTATTTATTGTCTTTCTCTCCCCACTCGAATATAAGCTCTGTGAGGGCAAGAATTTTTCCTGTTTTCTGCTGCATCTCTAGCATCTAAGCCACTGCCTTAGAATGTGATCACTCAATATTTGTTGAAAAAAGTGTAGAGAGGATGGTGTAAAAAAGCAGTGCCAAGTCTTGAACTTTTGCCTGGAATGCTTTCATAAGTTCCTCTGTGGTCTTTGTCACAGTTAGGGCGCCTTTGCCTTTCCCACAGGTCTCTCTGTCTCTGCTTTGGGGCCCATCTATCTTTTCCAACCCGTGCTTCACATCACTCCCAGACTTCCTTCCTCAATGCAGATCTGATTATCTCACTATCCTCTCTTGGCTTTTTCTATAGAATAAACTCCAGTTTCTTTAATGTGGCATTGTATTCCAAATGTGGTTTTCCCATTGTATTGCTACACCCAACATTCTGTGCTCTAGTCACATCAGAATACACATAGGCATTCAAGATACTATGTCTGTGTTTTTATGTGACCGGCAAGGTTTCATGAACCTAAGAAGTTATTCTTTTATTTATGTGTATCAAAATCTTAGTCATTCTTACTTAGTCATCTGATGTCATCTTCCTAGAGACTGTCCTGATGTTCAATAAAAGGATCATTCCTTCCCAGCAATTTTTCTTTCTATTTTAGTGCTTTTCATAATCTGCCTTGTATTCTTAAATGCTGTCTTTTCCTACTAGATTTAAGCTCCTTAAAGTCAAAGTCTTCATGCTTTATTTCTCTTTATTTCCTGGAAATCTGAAATATGTTTTATACATAGTGGATCTTTGATAAATAGTTGCCAAACCTGAGTTTTGACAGCTCAGTTTTCCCAGATGCTATTTCTTCTTTCTGCTCTGGTGACCCAACCCCATCTCATGTTTTCAAGAATCATACCCTGGTGACAGTGATGTTCACATCCAAAACCTCCTGTGCTACTCCCCTGGCTGGTGTGGCACAGGGCCTCACACTCCTTCAGCCTAGCATGTCACCTCCTTCTCTTTGCTGTTTCCCACCCTAAACCATGACCTCTCATAACTCTTCTGTGTTCATAAAAGGCACCATTATGTCTTATACTCACATAAATGCAGAGCCTTGGTGACATCTTGATCACCCTTTTTGTAAAGGTGATTAGCCACAAAGTCCTATTAATTTCCTCCTTTGGAATGCTGGTCAATTCCACATGTCCTGTATGTTTCTCCATCTCCTCTGACAAGATGCTGATAGAACTCTTAGCACCTCACATCCGATTGTGTTTCCTTTGTCCCCTCCCCCGCAATCTCGGCACCTGATCACATCACCCAACATGTGAGACTGCCCAGAGTCTAGGTTGACTCTCCTCCCTCAACGTGAGCCCTCTCGTTCCCATCAAGTCTGACTTGTGTGTCTCACGCGTCCCTGTTCACAGGTTCTCCACCTCCTGCAGCTCCTTGCCCTTCCTCTATGCCGCCATGCTGATTCCTGCTCATTTTCAGCTACTGAACACTGTTCCCAGCCCCCCCCACATCTCCCTTAACAGTGATACCTCCAGTTAAGCACTTCCTCTTTTGAAGTTTGTTTCTTCTTTTTTTTTTTTAGTGCTTGTTCTTTTCATTGAAATGTTTTTTAAAAATCAGCAAATTGGAAAGGATGTTAAAAATAATACAGTTGAATCTCTAAACCAAGACCTCAGTCCTCTCTAAAATTCATACATTTCACTATCTTCTAATATTTACAGTACTTTTTAATTTTCTTTCTACTTTTTAATTAAGAAAAATTTGCGAGTAGATATGGGGCCTGTGTTGGCCAGGCTGATCTCAAACTCCTAGGCTCAAGGCTCAAGTAATCCTCCCAATCCTTCCACCTCAGCCTCCCAGAGTGCTGGGATTACAGGCATGAGCTACTGTGCCCAGCCTCCTTCTCCTTATATTTGAGCTTCTAGAGATTAGGAACTTGGTTTTTACTCCCTCTGTTTTTCCTCTGCTTCTGCTTTTCCTCTTAATGCTTAGCATGGTTCTTTGTCCCTAGAAGACCTAAAAATACATTCATTGATTGAATAAGTGAATCAAATCTAATAAGTTAAAAACACATACACTTTCTCTCCAAAGGGTTTACAAAGAAGATTTACTTGAGGCCCTCTCCACCTCCCACCGCGCAAAAGCTGATCTCCATGGTTTCTGTTTCCAGATTAGGATGACTTGAAAGATGGCAGATACGTTTGCAACCTCTCTTTCTTTACAGAACTCTGTATCAGCCTTGGTTTTTATTTTCCTACATCTTGAAATTGTATCTGGAATCTCTCACTTTTACATGTATGATAGCTGATGTATGAATTTTAATGAAGTCTGTTAAATGTTGGTCATTTTTTTTTTCCAGTACTTTAGAAATAAGTAAGAAGGAATATTCCATTTGATTACTTAAATGGAGGCAATTATGTTGTGGTTTGAAATTTTGTATAAAAATTTTTAACCACGTAAACATTTTGTTGTGGGCAGTAAGCAGACAGTTTATAATTTGTGCAGGTTTTAAAATTATTATTATTATTAGCTTTTTCTGTGGGGTGAATAGAAATGGTAGCTTTAATTGCTTTGTAAGTATTTGTATGATATAATTTTGAAAGTACAGTTATGTTTCCATGGCAAGGATGTTTATATAAAGTTAGTGCTACTTAAAGTGTGTCTAATGCTTTAATTATATAGAAGCTGCTTAATATTTGATTATAGTTTTTATGAAAATACAGAAATGATATTCTCATATTATAAAAGAACTTTTCTCCATTTTAGAGCATGTCAAAAGAATAAACATAGTAATTTGAATGCTCTATTTTTGTTTCTAGAAACCAGCAAATATCCTAGTAATGGGAGAAGGTCCTGAGAGGGGGAGAGTCAAAATAGGTAGGTAATTACTCCTAAAATAATTTATTAAGAAACTGAAGTGACTGCAAAAGATGGTTTCCCTTTTTAATGCCCTTATTTAAGTAATTAATTTTAATATTACTTCCTCATAATATTTTTAGAAAAGATGTTTAGATAAATAGTCTATAAAACCCCAGGTTCTTTTCCCAAAAGAAGATTCTATAATTTTAAGTTAGAGCATCACTGAAATTGACAAGCAAGCTCTCAAAAGTGTTCATTCCCACACAATATCCTGGTATGTATTTCTGTCACCACCACTGTTTACAGTCACCCTCACCATAATCCCCAAAATTTTACTTTTGTTTCAAGTTTACCAAATATTCTTTCCTTGAATACTTCCCTTCCCCCCAGCCCATCGACCTAAAACATGTAGACCCTCATGATTCTCCCCACCTCACTATCCTTGACATACATAACCTGTGCCAGGTGCTAAGTTATTCTCCCAATGAATATATATGTTTGTTACCTCCCTGTCTTGAATTAAGGCACTGGTGGGAATCTTACCTGTATGTTGAGATCTCCTTGGCAACTCTGAAGGTTCTAGAGGAAATCAGCTTCACTTGACATATTTACGGGGGAAATGAATGAAGAAATGCTTTATTCTAATTTCTTTTACTAGAAATTATACTTATTGAATGGTCAGCGCTTTCTAGAAAGATTTTAAAATGAGTTTTCTTCATTAGCCTGGCTTCTTTGCTGTTAGAATAGACCATGCTTAAAGGTGGTATAAAATTGTGCTCCTTGACCTACTGCAAATTTGTGCTGTCCTGCTTCAAGCCTGCCCTGCTGCTTGGTTTTCTACCTCAGTTACCTCCCTGGCCCTGCTCCTGAAGAAACTGTGCTGAACCGACGTCCTTTCTGTAAACCTCTACTTTGAGTTTGTTGAGTTTCAGATTCATTAACAAATGTGTTGATGTTCATTGAGTACCTGGCAGCTGCATTCCTTCTCCCTACTCCCCTTTCTACCATTCCTCACTTGTTTCTCTTTTTATTTTAATCTTGGACTCCTTATTTTGTAGGTATTTATTGAGTACCTCCTTTTTGCCAGACAGGTGAAATGGAGATAAAGAATAGTTGCTCCCTATGAGATACAGTAAAATAAGTAGTTTTCTCTACAGTGTGCTGGGTCCTTTCATTTGGTACTTCATTTATTTTACACAACCATTCTCTGATGGTGGTTATCACAGACTGGGCATAGTGGTTCAATCCTATGCATAATCCTAGCACCTGGGAAGGTCACTGCAGGAGGATGACTTGAGCCCAGGAGTTCGAGACCAGCCTGGACAACATAGCGAGACCTTGTGTCTACAAAAAAAAAAAAAATCATCTGGGCATAGTGGCACACATCTGCAGTCCTAGCTACTCGGGACTGAGGCTGAGGTGGAAAAACCTCCTGAGCCTAGGAGGTTAAGGCTGCGGTGAGCCATGATTGGTACCACTGCTCTCCAGCCTGGGTGACACAATGGGACTCTGACTCCAATCAGTCTGTCCGTCCATCCATCCATCCATCCATCCATCCATCCATCCATCCATATACATACATATTTTTAAAAACCTGGCTCAGCCTTTCAAAGCTCGGATTAGATTCCAAGTCCAGGGATTCTTGACCTACAAGCATCCTTGCCTGTTGATATCAGCTGGTGGTGTGACCTTAGTAACCTCCACTTTTGGCCATACAGGTCTGCCTCTGAAACAGCCTCAGTGAAAGAGTGACCCTTCCTTGATGTTCAAGCCATCCTCCTGCTGCTAGTGTCCTTCTTAGCTCCCGAATACTTTCCTGCTGTACTTCAGCTCCTCGTATTGTAGTCCTGCCAGTTCCCCTTCTCAGATTTCTCTCTCTACCGTCAAAGGTTCAGTCTTCCCGATTTAAAAATAAATCTATGTCCATCTTGTTTGCTTTACCATTTGTTCTATTTTTTCCCCTCTTATTCTTCTACTTCTGGAACACATGATGCTCACCCTTTGGTTCTGTTTACCCTAATTTGTTATAATCTGGCGTCTAATTCCATCCTTCTATCAAAACTGTTGTCTGAAAGGATACCTGTGACCCATGCCCACCAAATATTGTGGCCTGCACTGCTCACATTCTCCTTTACCACAAGTCATTTGCTCTTCTGACCTGTCTGGCTTTGAGACTGTCTTCCCCTTGGTCTAAATGACATAACATAATTCTGCTTTTCCACCTCCTACTTTTGCTGTGACTTCTGCATTTTGTTCATTTTTGCCTCTTTCTCATGTTAACCTCATTTCAAGGCATGCTAGGCACTGGCTTAGGATGTGGTCTCCCGCTGCAATTACTTCTTTAGGTAATTGATAAGTTTTGGCCTCAGGAGCTTGGATTTTATGAAAATAGTTCTAAGATCTGGATCTCAGATTCTGGTCTCCTACCCTGGAGTCTTTATCTCCATTTGGATGTCTTGCTGGCAACTTATAATCCATTTTTCCAAACCAAATTCATCATCATCTTATGTTCTCTCATGTTTGTACCAGTTATCACATTGTCTCAGTTACCCACATCTAATTTCTTTTCCTACTACTGCTCAACATAAAATTCTGAATTCTGGCCTGGCCAGTTAGTCACCTTACTGTTAAGAGTTTTAGGATTGTGGTTCTATCCAAGATGAGAGATAAAACCAGGACCAAAAGTAACCAATAATTAGTCATAAAGATCTAGTGAACAATCAATCTAGTGGATTACACTACTTTTAAATTTTGCTTTAATAGCCATTTTTAAAAAATTAGTAATGCTGATGCCTATGCTGAATGCTTTAATACAGTTCTTTTTTGGTTTTAAAGAAAAGCATAGTTAAATGAAAAACATACCATGCTCTTTCCTGTGTCTGAGCCTTCCTCTCCCCAGCAACCTGAAGCCTGACCCTAAAACGCTTATTGCCTTCCTTTGTACTATTCAAAATTATTTATCCTGTAGGATCCAGCCCAAGTGCCACTTTCAGTTTAGACTCCTACAAGTATTTATCAAACATTGTTCTATGATGGAGACATAGATCCTCCTCCCAAGGGACGTACGTAGCATCTAGTAGAAACCTGATTCTCACAGTAATCATCCCTCTTTAACTCTTACCCTCTCCATGTATTCTGTCATCTCATACTCAGGTGAGCTTCTTGGTGGTAGACCTTGTGAGCTGCGTTTCCTGTCACTTGATGCTGTCTGATTTGCACCCACACTAGCATTGAACAATTTCACCCATGTCTAATTTTAGAAAAACATCTAAGTAATCTTTGGGCTAGTTACCTTTTGTCTAAATTTGTGATTATTTGAAAAGTGGTTTTTAAAGTTTATACACCAGGCAATTTTTTTTTAAGAGTTTATTGTTTTCTTCTGGCCTTGATTTCTTCTAACATTGAATAGATGAGGCTTAGGTCAAACTAAGGAGGTAGAAATCCTGACTTTTACCTTCTTTTTAAAATACTTTTCTTTTTTGTTGTTTCTTTTTTTTTTTTTTTTGAGTTGGCGTCTCACTCAGTCGCCCAGACAGGAGT